TATTTTGTTTTCGATTGTTTCATCTCATGCATTTAAATTTTAAATCGGCCGATTTTAGATTGCCGCGCGTACCCCTTCATGCAATTTCGCGTACCCCCGGGGGTACGCGTACCACTAATTGGGAACCACTGGTCTAGAGTAATTTTTTCTTATCTTTATATATCGATTGTTTTGTACAGATTGCTGAATATATTCTTGAAGTTACTATTTTTTATTTTATTTTTATCTAAAACCATTTGATTTAATTATATCTATAAAACACAAATTTACAATAATATTTACAAGTATTATTGCAAATTTGTGTTATTTGAATTATTGTAAATTTATTTTTGAAAAACCGTAGAATAAAAATAAATCAATAGATTTTATTTGCAGATTTTATAATGTAAAGTAATATGTTGTCTTCTATACTAAACGAACTGCACCCTTCTAGAGCCTCAGGGTGTAAAATGGCTTTGTTTACAATATACTATTTCTCTCTTCATAACAAACTTCAGGGGGTAGTGTGGGTCAAGCAATGTAGGACTAAAACCTTTTTCTGATAATAAGCTAATGAAAAATATTCATATACAGAATTTTTATAAAAACTCTGCATTTTTCTATAAAAAAACACGATGTTTTGCAGGAAAAGCACTTTTACGGATGCAAGTATTGTTTCAAATGTGGTATTACATTCACTGTGTTTTTTGTTTTCTAGCAAAGTCATATTACAGTTTACCATAGTTTTGTATTTTGTTTATCACGAAATTAAAATTATAATTATATTTAAATTTCCGAACAAAACAGAATATATTTATTTATATAAATTCGCTAAAAATAATAAGTTTCTAAATAATACATTATAAAATAAATAAAGATTTATACTAAAATTTTTTATAAAATGGCGTATTATAAATTATTCTGATTTTTTGTGGTAGTTTTTGCATAAAATATTTCATTCATATTATAACGAATATTTTAGTAAAAGAAAATATGCTATTCATATTTCTATAAATTTATTTACTTACATATTACCTATATTTACCTATATACCTATTTACAAGTTTGTTTCAAGAATTTATGACTATTTCCTTTAAATAATTGTACAATATCTCATTCTTCGTCTTGCTCTTGGTGTGTCAAGTAGTGCTTTAGTTTTGTGCGTGCAATTTTATTGGTTTCGGATATCTGTCAGCCAGTTGTTCTGCATTATCCAATAAGTTTATGATAATTCTATTTATTCCGGAGATTATTATCTAATTTTTAGCGCGTAATAACTAAAAAGTAAAATGAGTTTTTAGAATAATCCTTTCCCAAATTGCGTGGCATCCCGACCGCACTTTGAGCGTTTCACAGACACCATTTTTTTTCCATAAAATTGTAAAGTTATTGGCTTCGCTTATGGGCACAATTATAATAGTTCGCGACTAACGGACAGTATTCGATGTGGGAGATTCGGAATTTACGGCGGGTTTAAAGATTCAACTCAAAGGTATCGGATGTTGTCGGTCCGGATTTCGTGAAGAGACTCCCCCGAGAGTGGGAAGGAAGCATGTTTTATAGTGTTTTGCTAGGAAAATCGGTCACGTGATCGGTTGTTATAGGAGATAAAGGTTATAGGTGTTTCCGGGACCTAAAACAAGTGACAAAATTTGGACGCTAACTATAAACTTTTGTGCAAGTCGAGCTGCAAGCTGTGTGAGAACAATAGAATGTTGACAGTTATGGAACGACGGTTTCAAATGTTCCCAGCTTTTTTTCAATCCGTTATATAACAGAAGTAAAATAATTAAATTTTTAGAATAATAAAATTCCGGATCTGACATTTCTAACAATCCATAATAGATGTTGCTTTATCGGTCACGTAATCGGTTATTTTATGAAAGAAAACCTCTCTAATAGCCGTACCCCCTAATCAGCACAAGTGCCGCCTACGGGACCAGGAAGATGCGTTTTTATGTCATGCTGATTTGTTTTTCCTAGTTGCGATGTTGGAAATTTATGCCAGCGGGTACTAAAATCACACCCTATATAAAACATTCTCTCACCTTGTTGAGAAGTTGAAAGTATCAATAATTGTTACTCATCAATCTCTTCTTCTTCCTGTTCTGTATCAGTGTCTTTTTCTCTTGTTTCACAGATATCAGGTTCACCTTCAGATGATTCGTCATCATATATAATTCTTTCCATATCCATATCTGAGAGTAAAAAGCGTGCATGCTCCATATTAATGCAGTTGATAACAACGCTGTTTGAACACTTCACTGCTCTAACAAAACTACAAATGCAAACGAATTACGTAGAGATTCGCTGAACTTTGTAATCTGTTAGCTAGATACATCTGTTTTCTTTTAAACAAAACAAACTGCAGCTGTCTATCCAGAGCGGGGGAGAAGTTCTTGCAATAATTCACACTACGTCTCAAATTACTCAGCGGGGAGAAGAGTTGATTGTTATTGTGAAGGGACAAGTCAAAGTTTATCAATTTTTATTTGTGCATTAAACAGGGCCGGCCATCGGGAGTGTGCGGCGGATGCTATGCACCGGGGCCCCGCGATTGAGGAGGCCCCAACATTATCGCGTTAAGAAATGAAAATAATACTGTGGCTGTCGGCCATATAAAATTATATATATATTTGTATATAGTCATAGTTTTAATGTTTATTTTATAATTTCTTCTATCTCTTTTTGTCTGTCTTATTTCTGGAAGTTTCTGGTGACCGTTATTGTCTCTGGGTAGGATTAGCCGTTCTAAGAATTAAAGAGAACTGTTATAACTGATCTGTTGTAACTTGATCTAAGTGTTAGGTCAAAGGTATAAATTCCTACATACTTTTCGAATGTCTGAGTAAGTTCTTGTGTAGTCGTCACCCCAGGTCAGTTGTATCCGAGAGTGAATAAAATCTGATTTTTCTGATATTTCTCATAAGAAACAAACTTCAATTATTATTAGGTATGTAAATTTTGAAGAGAAAAGATTAATTATAAATCAGTCATTTATAGGGTTTATTGAAGCAACTGATGTGACGGGAGAAGGACTAGCAAAAAGTCTATTGAAAACATTAAGTGAGCCTGATTTAGATATGAATTGTAGAGGGCAGGGATACGACAACGGTAGCAACATGAAAGAGAAATATAAAGGTGTACAATCTAGAATCGTAATTGCTAATCCCTCATGCAATATATGTGTCTTGCCTATCACACTCTTTTAATTTATTAATTCGTGATTCCGCTTCCAGAAGAACATATTGTAAAATATTTTTGGGGATATTGCAACGTTCATATTGCTTATTTTCTGCATCTACGAAGAGATGGAAAATTCTAAAAAAGCATTTAAACATTACTCTTAAACCATTATGTAAAACTCGTTGGGAAGCCAAAATAGATTCGGTTAAAGTAGGGTATACACAGTTTGAACAAACTTGTAATGCCCTAGAAGAATTTATTGATATAAGTAACGATAATACAGCAGTATCCGAAGCTAAAAGTCTATTGGATTCAATACAAGAAATGCCATTTATTTTATGTTTAATAGTATGGTTTGCAATGTTGTCTAAAATTAACGCTATCAATATACTATTTCAAGCGAAAATAATTATTCTTGAGTCTACTTTTAATTTAGTCAATANTAGAAGTAAATATCCTTTCTTAGGTGGATGTATTCTCTTGAGAATGTTGTTAATGGTAATATACCACGTGTTATTAACCTGTAAAAACGTTCATTATTACTGCAACATTTCAATGGAGAACATACGCATTTTTTAAAGGTTGTAATTATAAAGGTTTTATGAACAATTGTAAAAAGTGAGTATCATGTTATGTTTTTTTGTGATGTTAAAAAATATATGTTATAAAGTAACAATTATAAATATATTGATATATTAGGTGCACCGTATTAATGTGAATATGTATTTAAAGTGTTTTTTAAAGGGCTGTATTTTTAAACTCTTTCCAACGTTATACACCGGGGTTTTTTAGAAAACAGAACCTGAGGTAACGTATAAGTGTAACAATTTTTTAATATTTATATGTAAGTAAATATTATCTACACGCGAAGAATTTGTCATCTCACTAATTGTATATAATTTTTAAGTAATTGTATATAAAAATTTTTTAAATAGTTTGTACTTTTGAACTTAAGAGGGACTTAAAATACAAATAAGTCCGAAATGCATTTGACTAACCAATAAAAGAACCTGAAAGCTGTATATGATAGTCTACAGAACTGAAAATCGAATTAAAGAGACACATTCACAACGAAATAGCAGCTGCCATAAGTGATTTTTTGAAATTATTTATTGTTTCGTCGTGATTTCGAAATGCAATTTTTAATCGTAACATTAATTATATTCTCTCTGCCTGATATTAATCGAGTCTTGCCCCTGTATATCATACTGTTCCCGACGACAACACAATCATGCCGGTCATCTAACTCCTTTCAATTAACTATATAGAGTACTCTTTTTATATCTGGTTTAGTCTTTCATCTGTTTCACTCCGTTCTCCAGATTAAGGAAGGACAGACAGGAAGTGGGAATTTATAGGTCTACAATCTATTTAAATTGCAGCCTAAATACTGAAAACATACTACTGTAACGTGAAAGAGTATTTAAACACACAACAAATTGAGTTTTCGAATAGAGCGAATTTTATCCAAAGCGAATTGTTCGAACACGGCTGTTCAGTATTGTATTTCAACTAGGCATAAGTTTCATTCACAAAGCCCAGGATTAGATGACTGGCAGGACTCTGGTGACCAAAAACTCATCATTAATCTTACGCTCGACCGATGAAAGTCGTTAGGTCTTAAGAACGTTACATCGTCACTGTAAAATAATACATATGAGTATATTCTATCCGACTAATACATACGAAATACGAGTTATGTATTTCGATCGTGTGTTTTGATATTTTCTTAATGATGCTAAGTCTAGAAGATGATAGGCAAATAATATAATAATATAATATTTATTATTTAGAATTTTGATACTATTTACTAGTACATTTTTCTTTAGGTTTGTATTGTAGAATCTATGTTTATTTTTCATTTTAAAATTTTGTAATCGGAAATTTAATTCCAGTGAAACAAATAGAAAAGAAACTCATTTATATCATCACGTTTATCTTAAATATAAGGCGAGGTTCCGAAAGTAGTGAATCAATTAAAAACTCAGTTAATTAAACGATTGAAATTATTTTTGTTGAAGTCATTTTAAATTATTTTTGTGCCTTCTAAAAATAGAGATCGACCTCGAAATAATAACTAGGCCTTAGTTCATCTTCTTCTTCTTTAGCAGTTGGACTTTTATGTTCTTGGAAGAAATAAAAATTATCGGGTTTAATTCGTAACTGGTTTTCTGGAATTAAGTCTTTGCGGTCGATCTTGGCGTTGAGTCGACTCACCGAATTTTTTCTCAGGAATATTACAGAATTCAACACCCCTTGTCCTTCTCTGTCGCATTCCACATACCTCGTAAATTCCCTGTTACCGCCGACAACCTTTACGTCTACGTAGATCTTTATACATGTTTTTTTAGAGTGAATTACGGGAAGACGAATTCTGTAAATAAAACAGTTTTCTTTTACAGAAATTTCGCAATTAAACTTCATTCGCGCATTGACTTCGAAACATTCGCTAAATCTTCTTAGAACTCGGTGGTTATAATGAAACAAAGTGTAATAGAAGCGATAATCTCTCTGGTATTCGTCTGTGCAGAGGTTGGCTGGAATTTTAGATTTGTCTTTCAATTCACTCGAGAAATAATTTCTGATTGCTTCGATTTCTTCGTCGGTTAAGACATTTGCAACGTTGAAAATGTCACGTTCAAAACATTTTTTCCCCATGGAAAGGAATCGAATTTTAGATAAGAATGGTTCGATAACTCTTCTTAAATTGGTCTGTGGTATAACTTTGATCTTAGCCCAGATGCACACGATGTTGAACAAAATGGATTCGTTTAACTTCTCGTATATCGGACGAGAGAGAAGAGTGTTTATTGTGATTTCGCTGCATTGTAAATACTCGGGTCTTCCAAATATTTGACTTCCTTTATGATCGAACCATTTCCAACACTCGTACATTATGTCGAAATCATTCATTTTCCAGGCGAATTCGTAAATAACAAAAACGTTAATAAAGTTAATGTTTGACAAAATATTTGTATGGCAAATAGATACGAAGTCCGCGGCTCCGTAATGTTTTCCAAATCGATACAGATCCATTGCTTCTTGGATTGTTCTTATGTAAGTATGTTCTGATTTCTTAAACCTATAATTGAATATCAGTAAGACATTTCGAATTTATTATATTTTACTGATGGAAAGCTTAGAAATAAATCACTTTCAGACAAACTTACTGAATAACTCGTTGCATGAATTCGGTGGAATAAGGAAAGAAGACTTTGAAAGATTTTGTTTGAGGATAAGAATTTATGAATTCTCTGAACAGACGACTGAATTTATGAAAATCGAGCAAATTAAGATCGATTTGGCCATTAAAACATTGTATATTAACTGATTCCATTGCTTGAACGAGACAATTAATTTACACTGTCATAATTACACAAGAAATAATGAAATGTAAAAAGTTATTAAGTGCGGAGTATTGTTTAGTCGTGACGTTATATGCATTGTTAGAGTTATACCTTCGTGTAACTGTAAAATGATTTATATCTATATTACATATATTATCGAAACTGTTGTTACTTAAATGTATATATATTAAGCTCAAATAACGAAAAGCTTGAGGCGCTAACGCCTACAGTCGCCACCAGAGGGCCTCCCGTGGATGACGTGAGCGTTTCGTCAGACCACCGCGCTTATTGGACCTGCCACGACACAGTTCAGGTGTGTTCGACAAGAGCTCCGCTACTTACGACTAAACAAAGGATTGTAGTGCCAATCGACCATCGTCCACGTTGGTGCCTACATTTGGTGAGCCGAACGTGATAACTCATCGGATTTACAAATTTCGCTAGGAGAACAGAAACATTTTACCAGGTACGTGAAAGAATGAGTGAACCCGTGGTCGGCCACGTGGCCGTCAAGCCGCCGCCATTTTGGACCGAGAGCCCAGCACTTTGGTTCGCCCAGTTGAAGAGCCAATTCGTCCTCGCGAATATAACCCACGATGAAACGAAATATAGCCATGTAGTCGCGAGTTTATCTGAATGTATGGCTACCGAAGTTGAAGACATTTTGGCCGCTCCTCCGAATACCGACAAATACAAAACGATTAAACGGGCACTGATCGACCGCTTGTCCCAGTCCGAAGCCCAACGCCTCGAAAAGCTTATACGTACCGAAGAGCTCGGCGACCGCACACCATCGCAAATTCTTCGACGCCTAAGAACTCTCGCAGGTCATACGGTTACCGAGGACCTACTCAGAAGTATTTGGTTGTCCCGTCTTCCCACCGATATACAGAAGATACTAACCGTATCCGAGGGCACACTCGAATCTCTCGCTAAGATCGCCGACCGCCTTAGCGAAATGTACCCCTCGACACCGAATATCTCCGCCACGTCTACGGCCTCTGCCACGGTCGATCCCAGAATCGCCGCGCTCGAAGTGCAAATCTCCGAACTCTCAAAACAAATTTCCGAGATGTCACGACAATATGGCCGTTCTCCACCTCGCCGCCGTTCCTCGAGCCGTGGAAGACTCGGTCGACGCTCCCCACCTAACACCTTCCCGAACAATATCTGCTGGTACCACGCAAAATTCGGCGCGAATGCCCGACGCTGCCGACCACCTTGTTCGATGGGAAACGAGAACGGGAGTCAGTAGAGACGGCGACTGATTCCAAAAACTTAAGCCGTCGCTTATTCATCACAGATCGTACGTCCAAAGTCGCATTCTTAATCGACACTGGCGCCGATGTCTCCGTTTATCCTGCTTCACGCCTTCCAAAACGCTGTGTAGAAGACTATCAACTCTTCGCAGCGAACGGCACAGCAATCAAGACATACGGCTACGCAACAATCACGCCAGACTTCTCTCTTCGACGAAACTTTACATGGCGATTCATTGTAGCTGACGTCACACAACCATTGATCGGTGCCGATTTTTTATCACATTATGGACTTCTCCCAGACCTTCGCAGCAAACGTCTCATCGACTCGACAACGAAGCTGGTCAGCCATGGACATATCCTCAGCGTCACTGCACCGTCAGTACGAACTATTGCCGGCAATTCTCCTTATCATCGACTACTGAGCGAGTTTCCCGAGATAACACGTCCATCTCCAACCATCGCACCCGTCCGACACTCCACCGTCCATCATATTATCACGACGCCTGGACAACCAGTGCGCTGCAAACCCCGGCGACTTGCGCCGGACAAATACATTCTGGCTAAGCGCGAGTTTGAATTCATGCTCGCTCAAGGGATCTGCCGACCGTCCACCAGCAGCTGGTCATCGCCATTACACCTCGTCCCAAAGAAGAACGACCAGTGGCGACCCTGCGGTGACTACCGTCTACTCAACGCACGAACTGTACCCGACCGTTATCCGGTTCCTCACATAGAGGACTTCGCATCCACTCTTCACGGTTGTGGGTACTTCTCAACCGTCGACCTTGTCCGTGCTTTCCACCACATCCCTATAGCCCCAGAGGATATCCCGAAAACGGCCGTCACCACACCGTTTGGACTATACGAGTTCAACTTCATGTCTTTTGGTTTGTGTAACGCTGCGCAAACATTCCAGCGCTTCATGGACGAAGTTACTCGTGACCTCGAATTTTGTTACGTCTTCATCGACGACATACTTATAGCGTCCCGAAACGAAACCGAACATCTGCAGCACCTACGCAAGTTATTTACCAGACTTCGTGACTATGGTGTTGTAATCAACGCATCAAAATGCGTATTCGGAAAGCAAGAAGTACAATTCCTCGGGTACCTGGTCAACCCAAAAGGAATCCGCCCACTTCCGCAAAAAGTCGAGGCAATTATCGAGTTCGCTAAACCAGCCTTTGTCGCCGCCCCAACCAGCACGGAAGAGTGACCCCCACCACCAACGGACCTCGACGAGACCCAACCACCGGTCACAATCCGCTCTGAACGACGGGTACGCTTCAACCTGAAGTATCGTTGAAACTCGCGGGGGAGTACTGAGGCGCTAACGCCTACAGTCGCCACCAGAGGGCCTCCCGTGGATGACGTGAGCGTTTCGTCAGACCACCGCGCTTATTGGACCTGCCACGAGCCAGTTCAGGTGTGTTCGACAAGAGCTCCGCTACTTACGACTAAACAAAGGATTGTAGTGCCAATCGACCATCGTCCAAGTTGGTGCCTACAAGCTTATTGAGCGAAAAAAAGGTCTACAACGCGTTGTCTCTTATTATATCATTCGCAACGCGATATTCGTGTTGTGGCTTTTACGATATTTGACCACTACAAGAAATAAAATGTATGGAGAAAAATACACATTTGTGCTAAAGTAGGTGCTTGATGTACTCTACACGATGACATAAAAATCAGCTGCTGAAGTTAAAAACCACTGTGCAACGGATTTATTACGTTTAAAAGCCACCGCAAGTTCTGAATGTCAACTAATAATGAGGTGATGATAAAAAATTACAAATTTCTTTTTCGTTATGATTTATTTATCTTTCATCCTTTTATTTAAGCAAGTATGAAAATTATTTCCGGCGTACAAAAATGTAACTTGGTTACTTTTCAACAACTTTAATTATTCATGAAAATCTGTTGCGGTGCTCAAGATGTCAACATTTCTAACAACTAATTTATTAAAAATAATTACTTTGTCAAGAACTTTTATTAATAAATCGGCGTTTTTTATAAGAATTGAGAATGCTGCAGAGTTATTTATTTTTACATGAACTATTACTGTGACATTTTGAGTTGCATTTTATGTTTTTTCAGCGACGTTTGTATTTTTTATCATTACGGTATCTTTCACAGTGACACATTATAAACCCTCGCTTACTTCCAGATGTTAACGTGGATGCTTAGAGAAGTGTTAATGAAGCTGAGGGTATACCCTGAATGTTAATAAAAATTGTAAATTATTACGAGCGTAAAGTCGATCGAGAAAACCTTCCTTGTTTTTTCAGCTTTTTTGGCTTTTGTGTGTACATAATAAAGGAAAGTATTGGACCTTCTAGTGTTTTGCAAATCTGCACGTTTTGAAACGTCCTAAATCAAAAAACGTAAAAAGAATACAAAAAATTTCGTTAAAAAATGTTAATCTTGAAAATTACTTATTGAAAGTTAATATAGAAAATATATTTTAAACGTGTTTATTGCTCTGAAATTTTTGCAACATTGCCAGCATAGGTTATTTTTAAGCATATTCCCTGTAGGCATTTAGCCCTGTAGGGATTTTAAGATTTTTAAGTTAAGATTTTTTCTGTTAGAAAGCTCATTTTGTAGACCCACAATGCGGCTGTTGATGAGATGAAAGGCCGACGTTTCACGACGGGTCTCCCCGAATAATTATTGGGGTTTTACTTCGAATATGATTCTCTTAGACACGGGCGCCCGTACATTAGGGCACTTGAGGCACGTGTTGGGTTGCCCTTTTTTAATTCCCAAGAGGACCCCAAACAACAGAATATTCGTGACTTTTAGCCTATTCTGCAAATAAAACAGAAACTAATAAACCACATTTGTCCATTTTCCCATGCAACTTCGTCGTATGTTCACCAAAATTCCATTTTCTTTTTGTGGCTGAGTTAGTCCCGATGCAATAAGCGCCAACTTACCGGTAAGCTGATATGGGAACGACCTTTAATCAAGAAGATTGAAGCTCCTCGTATAATGTAAAATGCCCTTTTTTATAGCTTCGCCCTCCTTTATGTAGTCTGCAGACGTCGCTGCCCCAGACCCGAGGACTCTGCTGCTCCTTATTTGCTCGACATCCGGCCATCTTGCAGTACAGATGGCAAGTTAAAAATATATTTTCAAAATTAAAAGATACACTCGCTTTACGATGACTCACGAACGATTCACTAATCAAGTAATAATATCTAACGAGCTTAAAATTGCATTTTCAATGGATATATAAGAATTAATTCGAAACGTCGACAAAGCAATGTTTTAAGACAGGGGTGAACAAGATTTTTACTCAACGGGCCAATTTAAATTTTAAAATTTTTTGGCGGGCCACACATAAAGTAACACTTATTAATAATTTACAAAACTTTATTTATAATGAACATAAGAATAAAAAATATATAAAATTTTAAAAAAGTAAAGATTTCATATACAAATTTTAATGCAAAATAAAAACAAACAAGAAAAGAACATACAAACAAATTTACTTGAAATTTTTAATGAAAAATTTGCACTGTCTTTTCGATACAAGCTGATCAATATCAGCCGGAATTGATGAGGTAGCTACACGTACGCAGCTTTCTAATCATGCATCACTCAGTCTTGATCGGTGGTCATGTTTGATTAATTTCATGGTTGAAAATAATTGTTCGCAAACATACGTACTTCTGAACAGAGACATCATTTGCTTTGCATTTTTTGTCAAAAGCGGAAATTTCTCAGGGCTCACATAAGATGTATAAAAATTTTCGTTGTTTACTGAGAAAAAAACATTTTTTAAATCGGTATTATTCTGCATGTCAATCACTTCCATTTGAAAGTCTTCGGGTACTGTATCCACATCGATATTAAATGGCGAGGAAAACATTTTCATGGAAACCGCTCTCTCTTCAGCTTTGAACATTTGGAATCGTAATTGAAATTCGTTGATTAAAATGTCTATATATTGTGCGTATTTTTGAGTAGTAGTAACGTTTTCTTTTAATCTTCTAAATGTGGAAACTGAGACACATTATTCTGCAAAAGATGCTGTTTCCACAATTTTAATTTGCGCTCAAAGTCCTGAATTTTATCATACGAATTGTGAATAAACTGTCCTTTGCCTTGAAGTTCCACATTAAGATGATTGAGATGCTGAGTCATGTCGATCAGTGGCGTACCGTGGGTGTCAGCTGCCCGGGGCGGAAAAAAATTTTGGCCCCCCTTATTTAGGTATTTCAATTTAAAAGACCAAAATTCAGTTTTGTCACAGAACAAGCAATGAAAAATTCGGTGGTAGTGCAGCGACCTGTTTAAAATAGTTCTATTGGATATTAGTTGTGTATATGAACGCGAATAAATCGTACAGTAATACCTCGAACTCACGCGATAGGTGGGACCGAGTGATAACCGCGTAAGTCGAATTCGCGTAAGTCGGGGTATAATTTCTCAATTTGCGTAAAATCCAAGTCAGATGTATGTAAACTAATGAATGTTCTCGTTAATCTTATTTCGTCTTTTGATTCGTTTACGGTTACAAGAAATCGCCACATAGAGTCTCTCAAAGCTCCCTAGATATAACAAACACAGAAATAAATAACACAAAATAAATTGTAGCTATGTGTCGATTCCGCGCGACAAGTCCGAACATGTAAGCTGAACAATAGTGTGGGGGGAGTCAGTAATCAAGAGTTGCGTAGCGCTCAAACAAGAGACGAATCGACGAGATTTGAAAATCGCGTAACTCAGGGTTCGCGTAAGTTGGGGTAGCATAAGTCGAGGTATTACTGTACAAGCAAAAAAAGGGTCAACAGGTTTCGCAGGAATTCCTCGGTTAAGTTAGGTTAGAACGTGTGTCTACTCTGCGCTGCCATGACAGTCCACATAAGTAAAGATTAACCTTTCATTTTTTTAAGTTGCTGTATTTACGTAATTTCTAATATGTGACCGAAGGGTCGGCACCTCTTTGGTGCCCTGTCAGGATGACACCACCGCGTCTCGATGGACACGGAAGCCGCGTTATTTAGGTCACGCGAGCGGTCGCGTAACGGAGCGATCAGAGTCGAGATAGAAGGAGAGACAACGCACCGGAAGTGATTTACTCAGACGCTTTTTTAACGTAACAACTGTTTAATGATTAACGATAGGATATACATTAGTGCCGCTGTTAGATACATTAGGGCTGCTATTAGATACATTGCTCGCTTTAGTATATAATAGTATTAAGATATTAAGATATTAAGATATTACGTTTCTTCCCGTTTTGAGAGAGAGAGTTTACAGAAGTTCGCGTGTCGATAGTTACCTTGTTTGAAAGCTTGATCTGGATCCCCGTCGGTAAGACAGAAAGTTCGGGAAGTCCAATAATCCAATAGTTCTTTTTCTTTGATATTAGGTGATTCTTGATATTAGGCGATTCTTGATATTAGACGATTTTTTGGATATTGGTCACAAGCGATGAGGTATGTATCCCAAGGAGCACAGATTTTTCGTAGACGTAATCCAAAGGAAGAACTGGCGACGACTGACTCACTTTGTTGTCGTGTCTAATGTTGAATTGTTAAAATCGCGCTATTAGGTCGAAAGGTGCTGAGAAAGCGTCGTTATTACGCCTGAGAACTTAGCAGATGTTTAGCTCCCAGTTGTAAAAGTTGACAGTTATTGAACAAAAGTATAGCTGTACTGTGATCTTATGACACCGTGAAATGAAAGTAGGACTACGATGTGATCTTATGATGAGATGATATAAACACATCCGAATTCGGATCCTCACAAATATAATATAAACGCTCATTTTATGTTGAGGACAGACTACTTACTTTGTTAATCAGAGAATCTCCGTAAAATAATTTAATGAACAACACAGTTATCAGCACAATGATAATGTCTTCCTTATACAACATTATTAAAATACACTAAATGTGGTAACGAGTAAAAGGATAGTGGAATTTAACAATGCAGATAAAAGCGAAAGTCGCAGATAAAAATATGAGTGATGAGACAAGGAATTATGCAAATTAATGCTTATAAAGTTTTGCAAATACTTCACTTTAGTTTCGCATTTTACAAAATAAATGAAATAATAATCATCATTATTTTTGAGATGGATGTCATTTACAATTACAGTAATTTATAAAGGCACAATGTACCCGATGTACCCAAAAATGTACCCGATTCATAATATTGCTGCAATATAAAAAGGCCCTTCTAAGTAGGGCACGAAATGCA